CTTGGAGAGCCGCCTCGTCCTCCTCCAGTCCTGTACGTAGACAACAAGGCCATGCTGGCCTTGTGTCGAGAGCAGCGACTGGAGCACAGAACAAAGCACATTGCTCTCCGCTACTTTCTTGCTCGTGAGCTACAGCAGCGTGGACAGTTGCAGCTTGCGTACGTGGCCTCTGAGGCCAACACTGCTGATGTCTTCACCAAGGCACTTGCGCCTTGTGATCATCAGCGCTTCTGTACTCAGCTGGGTCTTGTGCCTGTCTTGCCTCACTTGCTCACTTCTTGACCTTGCTTGTACCTTCACCTATATATACTCTTGCTCTTGCTTGCTTAGCCTCTTGTATATATATATATGTGATCTTGCATGTGAACTGGCCTTCTGGCCTTTGAACTTGTGCTCGGAATGTGTGGTGACTTTGTGATCCACCCTGAGCTTTGCTTTGCTTTGCTTGACTGGTCTTGTGACCCCTTGTTCTCCCCCACTTTGCCTATGGGGGTGTGTCAGAACATTATAGCTTATATATTTGTGTAGGCTATAGTGGGGTATCCCATAGGGGGTACAACCCAATCAGGGTTTCCTATATGTACTCACTTCATTCATAGTTCATTCATTCTCGTTCTAGTTTCTTTCACAGTCCTTGCTCCTGATCGAATCCACGCACGACCCAGCGTGCTTTGAATTTCTCGATCGTGCCGTCTGCTTTCGTTTTGATGCGGAAGACCCATTTCCCGGTGAGAATGGTCTTGTTTCGTGCCACGCTTGCGGGAACGACCTTCCAGGTGTTGCGTTCCTCCAATGCCTTTAGTTCTCTGTCCATGGCTTCACGCCATTTCTCCCTGTGTTCCCCCCCCAGAGCCTGCTGAACCGTCGCAGGCTCCTTAGGAAGCGCGTTGCCGTGCACTGCGGTGACGAGGCCGAGGATTTGCAGCCCAGTCTGTGAGTATCGGGGGAGTGTTGGATCCTCGGGATAAGCTGCTTCGTCTCCCGCTTCTGGATCGGGTATGAAATTTGGCCCTATCCGTTCTGCTTCATTTGTGTTGACTGTCGCAGGTGTTACGTAACCGTTGTCGGCGAAGTGATAGAAGACTTCGGCGTTGGCACTGTCGCGAGGATTTTCTTCGTCCATGGGCACGTTGACAGAGCAGAACGGGAGAGGTCCGGCTTCTTCCGATGCGTTGTCGACGTTCTGTTCATCCCAGTTTGCTTCGTCCGCTGCTGAGGCGAAGGCTCGGTCACCACGAAAGCCACCTGTGGGGTTTTGATTCTCGTGCAAGTTGGCGAGATACGTTTGAAGGGTGAGTCGCTCGTAGAAGATCACATCACGTGCTGCTACTGTTTCCTTTGAATGGACGTCGAAGATTTTCCACGCGTTGTAATTTTTCTCGATGCCGAGGTGTAGTCCCCACTGTGCCCGTTGTGAAAATCTTCCCGCTCGTGCTTCTGGGGTCGGTACTGTACCATGCACCCGAAAACTCGTAACATTTTTGTGCTGCCCTGCTTCCCTGTCCACAGCAGGTGCGGTAATGCGTTGTTCGGGAGTGACGACGACGACAGCAAGTTGTGCAGCATGACAGGATGGTCCATTGCTGCAGGCCACTGGTGGTTGGGTAGCCGCATGCCACGTAGCAGTTTGCGCATGCTGTTCTGCAGAGTCTTGTTCATTCTTTCTACGACACCTTGTTGCTGATGGGCGTAGGGAAGGGAGAGGAGTTGCTTGATTCCTCTTTCCGCCAGGTACTGCTTGAAGCGCTGAGAGGTGTATTCTCCTCCTCCGTCTGACTGGAAGCTTTTCAGCTGTGCTCCCGACTCTCGTTCTGCTACTGGTAGCCAGGCGGCGAACGCTGCGAGTGCCATGTCGCGGCTTGGTAGGTTTAGATGCCAGACATATCGAGTGGCGGCGTCGATGAAGGTAATCGTATAGTTGTAGGTGACTTGTCCTGGTTCGCGATTGTAGAGGATGTCGCTGTACATCTTCTCGAGTGGTGCGTATGTAGGTGCGCTTGGGTTGTGGTGAGAAGAAAACGGTCGATGGGGTAAGTCGGCTTCGGGGCAGATAAGGCAAGTTCCTCGTGCACGTTGAAGTTCTCTGCCGTCGGGTAGTAGTAGCGAGTCCTTGTCTAGAACTCCTGCTCGAATTGTGTTATTTAACACTGTGTTGCTTGGTATCCTGTGCGTGCGTGCCATATGTCTTCAGGAGCGCGGTATCCGGGTGAGCGTTGATACGCGTCGGAGTTGGAGTAGAAGCTGGCGACGAAGTGTGCGCTTCTGTGGACTTCTCGTTGAGTTGGTTTCAACTGCTGTGCGGGTGTTGGTGGTTCTTCGTCGACGAGGACTGGTGTCGTTGTTCCTGCTGTTGCTGCCGATGTTGTCTCTACTGCTGCCGATGATGTCTCTACTGCTGTCGTTGTTTTTCTGCTGCTGCCGATGATGTCTATGCTGCTGTTGTTGTTGTTTCTGCTGCTGCCGATGATGTCTCTTTTGCTGTCGAGTGTTGTATTGTTCCTAATGCGCGTGTTCGTTCTGCTTCAGGTATGGTGTGCGAGTACCAGAAGCCTCCCGGGCTGAAGTCTGGATCAAGGTCTGGAGGGTGCGTCCAGTCCGTGAAGTTAACAATAGCGTCGCTGTCTGCGGTGCCCAGGTCCGGGACGAAGTCCAGGACGAAGAAGTTGTTCTTCAGAACTGCCTTCCCGATGTAAAGGCCGCCTTTCCCGTGATATAATTTAACTTCCTGGGTGGTGCTGTCGGCTTCCAGGTGGATGCCCTTCGCCATCAACTGGCTGACACTCAGTAAGTTATAGCCGAGTCCCTCTGCGATGAGTACCTTTGACATGTGTAATATGACATTTGTCTCTCGTGACTGAAGCTATACCACTCCTTGTCGTCGTGTGCGCAGGTTCTGATCGTTGGCGACCGTGATGACTACTTCTCGCTGGAGTCGATGCTCGCGTTGAACGAAGCGCCCGGAGGAGCACATATGTTGTCCGCAGCAACTGTCCAAGAACCAACTGTCTTGGCCGGACGGTTCGCTTTGAGCAATGGCGGCGTATGTCGGATTCGGTTGGAGTGACTCGCGGCGAGGCGTCCTGTTATCGAGCTCTTCTTCCAGTGAGTAGTGGGGTGGTGATTCTGTTGTGCAGGAATCGGTTATCTTTACCATGCAATTGACAATATTTCTTGCTCCTTGTGCAGGTTGTCCAGTTGAAGTCGTTGAAGTTTGGATTGTGGTCGTCGGATTTGCTTGCGTTGAGGCAACTTGGGAACTTGAAGGTCGGAGTTGTCGCTGTGGTGTCGTCGACTGCTGACGGGACGGGCAGTGTGTGCGAGGATGACCCGAGGTCTTGCAGATGTGACAAAACGGAGGTACCATCTTCACTTGTTGCTGTTGTCGATTGTTGTTGCCGTTGTATCGTCGTTGAGTGTGAAATGCAAACTCCGGTGCTAATATTTTCTTCTTGTGTCTTTCTTCTTGCAGGTCCATGTCCTGCTGCTCGGCGTGGATTTCGGCGCAGAGTGCCGCTTCGGAGATCCTCCCGTGTGCTCGTAATATGGCGCGAGTGGAGCGCCAGTGGGGGCAGAGACCGCCGATGACCACCGTGACAAAGGCGTCTTCTGAAATTGACCCTCCGCATCGAAGAAGCTTGTCGCGCAGTTTGCGGCAGCGGCCGATATAAGCCATGCCTTTCTCGCCTGGTTTCATTTCAATCGTTGTCAGCTGCGCCATTAACCTGCTTTGATTTACGCTGTCTGTTGCTTGATACAGGTTCTTCAAGTGGTTGTACGCGAGCTCCGCGGAGTTGCCGTAGCCTCGGTAGGTTCTGATGTTCTGCTGCTGGGTCGGGGTGATGTTTCTTAGCAGTATCGTGTACGCCATCATTGATTGATAGGTGTACTGCTGCTTCTCATATTGTGTCCCGTTTGTTGGATATGGCAGGGACCCGTCGAAGAAGCCGAGAATCTGTGCTCCTTCCATCATCAATTCGAACTCGAACGACCAGGTGAAGAAGTCTTTGCCGTCGAAAGGCTTTGTCGTTTGCAGCTTTAGGACGTGCGCGAATTGCGACTGGACTTGCAATGCGTCCAATGCCCTTTCTTGTCCTGGTGCAGATTGCGGTTGCGGCATGAAGCTGACGGAGCCACGCTGGGGTTCGTACGGCGCAAAGGTAGGCTGCTGTTGTTGTTGTTGAATCCCGTGCGCGTAGGATAAGCCATCGAGACTCATAGGCGTCACGTTGTTGTTGTTGCTGTTGTTTGATTGCGCAGGTACTCCTTGCTGGTGCTGCTCGTAGAAGGACATGAAGGAGAAGAATTTCTCCATCATACTTGGATCGAAGCCCGCGCCTTGGTTTGCGGGTGTTTCCGTAGACCCAGCTGCTGGTCTCGTCGTTGTCCCTTCCTCTGTCAGTAGGCCAGAGGCAGGTGGTGGAGTAGGGGTAGTACCGGGAGAGCCGTTGGAGGAGCTCCTCTCCTTTCTAGCAGAAATGTCTTCTTTGATGTACTGAGTGTTGAATAATGAATTTTAACTCTAACTGCTCTGATACCATGTTGGGCTGAGGAGCCCTAGGATCTTTGTAGAGTTAAAGTTTGAGTAGGATGATGTAATAGCGGAAGCGTTGAATAATAAAGTCTTGAACCACCTTGCGCTCGTATGTGAGGGCAAAGTAAGTTGATTAAAACAAGCAAATACAAAGCTTTACATAAGAGTACAAGGAATGCGAATAGATGTAATTAGATGTAATTAAACTACCTTGCTGTTGCGATTCGATACAGTGCGACTCGGGCAACTGCTCAATGTCCAGTCAGTTGTGTGTCCTTGCTGTCGCGCTGTATTGGTCAAGTCAAATGTCGCTGACCTTTGACCTTCGCGTAACCTCCAGGCGGTTACCCTAACCTCCGAGGGTTGACTCGCGATGCTTCGATTTGGACTTCTTCGCTTTGTGTCCTGAGTTTCGACACGACAGAGGCGCTTAACTTATTTGTTCCCAACAGCAAGAACGCGTACAGTACTACGAAACTAGGTTGCGAAATGGGGACGGGGACTTGAAACGCACCAATTGAGGGGGTGAAAGGCGGTAAGCACGGAGGGGATGGCCACCAGGGCTAATTTTATCAGGGTAAATCACCCTGATACCCTGATAATAAGGGTGGTTTTTGGCTGTCACACTGATGCCTTAGGGTAATTTTTTCGGGAGCTTGTATTTTCCTGATAGGCCAGGGTTTACGTTTGAGGTACACTGACGGCCCAGGGTTACCGATCTTTGTAACGAGTTTTACCCTGAATCGAGTACATACCCTCCCCGAGCCGCCCCACCCCCCACCCCCTCTCTACCCACCCCCCCTTTCCCGTATCGAGGTTCTCGCATGCCGACTGTAGAAACTGAAATTTGGCAAAGGCAACATCTCTGAGCTGGCACGAGGGGGGCCTCCATTGGCCAGAAATACATTTTCGTTATTGCCTGCCAACGATAATATCAATACACTAGGGTTTGCAAAACTGGTACACTGATCCTACAGGGTATAATTTTCAAAAACTAGGAAAACCCTGGTGGATCAGGGTTTGAACAAGGTGTCACACTGATAATCAGGTTTTTGGACTTGTGCAACACTGATCACAAGGGTTGCTGGAAACCAAAAATTAGCCCTGATGGCCACGTGCTTGCAGAGGGTTGCAATTTGGGTTGCAAGCGGTAAAATCGAGCTGCAATGACTTGGGCTATACCCATCAATGTTTTCATTAGGTGCTAGTACTATTTATCTCAATCTAGCTCATACAATAAATGGTAAATGAAATTCCACACCATCGCCTCTCCCACAGTCCCATAATACTCTCCCTCAACCTCCGTAGTCTTCTTGCCTTCCTCGGCTTCGGCAAAGCAACTGTAGTGCACATCCGTATTCTTACAAGTGTCATCAGGCCTAGGGGCAGCAATTAGCCAGTCGTTGAGAAGAGACAGTCCGTAACGTCCTAAATGCCCGGCTATAACTTCGTTCAAGTGTGAAATGAGGGTGTTTGTTCCCTTATCACAGAACTCGTTAAGCCGTTTTGGGGGGATGGTTCGGTACAGAAACCAAGGGCCTTTGTCGGGCAGCCTCTGAGTTTCAACCTGCCCCTGGAGCTGCTGCTGTTGCTGCTGTTGCTGCTGCTGCTGCTGCTGCTGCTGCTGCTGCTGCTGCTGCTGCTGCTGCTGTTGCTGCTGCTGCTGCTGCTGCTGCTGCTGCCGTTGATGCTCCAACTGAATCAATTCTATTCTGGAGTAAAACCACTGCAGGAAGTTAGGAAGATAGTACCCAAAGGCGTTCTCAGGCTCATCACAGAAAAAGGTTGTCCAGTAACCCCCATCTAAGAGAGTCACATGGGCTGTTGTGGAGATGTTTGGGAACTGGAGCATTTGAAATGACGTGATGTTCTCATTCCTGCATGGTGACAATAACGAGGGGAAAATAACAGGAAATGGTGGGAAGAGAAGGCAGATGGAGTGTGTTTAGAGCGAGATACTCTCCTTTATCCGGCCTTAAACAAGAAATTGTCTCAATCACGAAAGGATAAACACAACGGATTAGAAAGAAGCAGACATAAACAACCACGGTTTACCTGCAGCCAAAAGACCCGTTGACAAACATCCCTCCGATCCAATAAAAGTTGAGCTTCAGAGGCTGCAGCTCCGGGCTAGGGGGCGGCACGACCAACTGAATGTCCCAATGGTACTGAAAAGTGGAAGCATTGGCCTTGCCAGTGAGGAGAAAGTAGAGGTGGTGGAAGAGGAATCGCACGTGAGAGTCCCCCACAAAGTTGATTTCGGAAATGCCCCGGGATTGGAGGGCGGAGACCCATTGGGAAGTGGGAGGGAGGGGGTGTGCGCAGGGGTAGAGCTGCCACGTGTAGTTTTGCGTCTGTTCATTGAGCAGCCAGCGGCCGTTGATGGAATGGACGCAGGGCGAATCTGGGCCGTCCATTGCATTCTGTGGAAATGTGCTGCTGACTTGGGACACAGCAGAAGTAGCGGTAGCTGATTCAGTGGCTGGTTCGGTAGCTGGTTGGGTGTGTGGAAGGACAGTGAGGTTCCACTGTGCCATGACATGTGATCCCGTGGTGCTGACTCGCTCCAAGTAATTGGGAGCAAAATTCAACGTGTCGCACTCTGATTGGACCAGGACGCTGGTTAGGTGGGGATTCAGGAGAAGAATTTGCAAACGGAAACAAGGAAAGAGGTTCAAATAAGAAACTGTGATGTGCGTCTGAAGGGTTAAATTCAAGTGGAGAGAGGTTCGGGAGGGAACACATTCAGCTCCCCCTGATTCCCTCCTGGCCCACGATTCTCTTTATCCCGGCCTTCCCCTTTCCTCTCCTTCGCCTTCCTCCTCCACCCCCTTCCCACCCCCACCCTCTTCCCACCTCCTCAAGCCTCACCTGTAGTTACCAGCGTCCCACCTTCTTCTCCGTCCCTTCTATTTCCGCTTCTCTCCATACCCCTTCCCATGTCTCCCCGCAACCCTCACCTGTAGTTACCAGCGTCCCACACGCGGTACGTGACTCGCCATCGCGTGACGTCACCCTCCTCTGTAGTCACATCCGCTACAGCCAACGCAGGTCCCATCAGCCTCACCACCAGCGACTCTTGCAGCCCACCCACGCCCATCCGCCTGTCCCCGACCCTAAACCTCTCGCTACTGCCACTACCCGTAGCGCTACCACTGCTGCTGTCGCTACGACTGCTGCTGTCGCCACTACTGCTGGAGCCGCTACCACTGTAGCTGGCGGCGAAACCCCTTGGTCGCGCGACCCATTTCGCGGGCGATCGGACGGCAATCTCGAAGGCGCATAGCTCGCCCACCGTGCAGCGGGAGCAACCCCCGCCGAAAATCAAAACGCCCTCCTTTCTCTTCCTCCAGATTCGTTCCTCCTCGATTGCCTTGTCATGAGCGCCCTGCGTCGTTGAGTCGTTCTGATGCGGTCCGCCGCTAATCGACTCGATCGTGTCGTTGTTGGTTCCCGACGAGTCGCTACCATACCCGCCATGGTCCCCAGACCACCAGCAAATTGGATCGGATTCTACCAAATGATTTTCTGGAACCTGGCATTTCTCCCGACTCGCAGCCACGTCAGCATATGATTTACCCTGTTCGTTCGCAGAAAAATGGCCGGGCCGAACGTGGATGCCTGGTGCGTCAGCATATATCGTGTATGAGTTCACGAGTACGGTGAAGAGTAGCAACGGAACTACCACTAACGCGAATAACGCTAGCAAAGTCACAAACGATAGCCAAGACGCCTTCGAGTCATGAGCTTCAACAACTTCCATGAAGAACTTTCGGAATAAAATAAATACCAATATATTAAATTTTGCCCGGCACAGAGGCAAACGGCAAATAGCAGCAAGTCATATCGGCATGACTAATCAGCACATGCCCATATCGGCAGGGAGCATAGCGTTCTGATCTGCTGGTGGCCGTTGCAGCCACGACTCGCGAGTCACGACGACGATGGCCATTGAATTCAGGCTCCACGCGACGCGATGTTCATTGGGTTGGTGGTGGTATTCTCTAGGAGGAATAGCCTGGCATCAGCCATGGCTGGCAAGGCGAGGAGAGGCGAGATGCTAGGTGCGTGTCCCTTCAAGTTTCCTCTCCGATAGTAGTAATCGGTTCAACAGGTTCGCACACGGTAGAACACGGTTCGTGCTCGCTGCCTCCTCGGACCGCAACGCACCAAACCAAACCGTACGTGAATTCAAATTTAACCCCGTTATAATCCAGCGGACTCGTTTGAAGAGCCCAAGCTGGGGCGCCTTCACCAAACTGCGGGTGTTGTCGGTGATAGTGGGCTTGGTTGTCTGATATGTCAGAACCAGCCCAAGAGAGGTGTGTCCTGCAGACAGAACGTCGCTGAGCAGTACAGTACGGTCCTCCTTTGTTTCAGAATCATGACTAGACTTTGATAGTGGAGGTAAAAACGATGGAGCGCTTAGATGGAGCGCTTGATGCATGAACACAAAACGTAGTCTAAACGATTGTTGTAAGCATTGATGTATATATCACTCGCCTCAGCATGCGCCTTGAGGGCCTTGGCATGGTGCTTGATGAGGTTGCCAAAAAAGATGCAATGAGGTTGCCAATGATGATGCAATGAGGTTGCCAATGATGATGCAATGAGGTTGCCAATGAGGATGCAATGAAGAAATACAAGTGGTTGTAGCCCCCCTTGGAAGCACACGGTACAGCCTTAGCACTCTGCCAAAGCTTCGATCACGCCTTCAGAGCCTTGGCATGGTGCTTGATGTGGTCACCAATAAACGATGCAATGAAGAAGTACGAGTGATTGTAGCCTCCCTGGAAGCGCAGCCTCGGTGGCATCCCTGCCTCCGACCCTTCCAGATATATCTTCAAGCCTTTAGAGCCTTGGCGTGGTGCTTAATATGGTCACCAATAAACGAAGCAATGAAGAAGTAGGAGTGGTCGTAGCCTCCCTGGAAGCGCAGCGTCAGCGGCACGCCTGCCTCCGTGCACGCCTTTTGGAAATTCTCCGGCAGCAGCTGCTTCTCGTGGTAGAACTTGTCACTGTCGCCCTGCAGGGAGTGAACATGAAAAAAACAGAAGAGAATTCGAGGAGGGGGGATTGAGATCAATGGGGAAAGTGGTCGTTCACGATGCCTCCGTGCGAGCCTTTTGGAAGTTCTCCGGCAGCAGCTGCTTCTCGTGGTCGAACTTGTCGCTGTCGCCCTGCAGGGGTGAAACAACAAGAGAAGAGTTGAGGGGGTTGAGGGGAGAGACATTGAATTATGATGCTTCAGAACAGACCACACCACCTCCGGCAGCAGATGCTTCTCGTGGTCGAACTTGTCGCTGTCGCCCTGCAAACGTGGAAAAACGAAAGAGAAAAAGAAAGAAGAAAAGAAAGAAGAGATTGATGGATGAAGTGCTCTCTTACAGCAAGCCGCTCTGGAAATTCTCCCGGCAGCAGCTGACTTTTGAGTCGACTCAATAGTCTCTTACAGCAAGCCGCTCTGGAAATTCTCCCGGCAGCAGCTCCTTCTCGTGATGGAACTTGTAGGAAGTGAACCAACAAGAGATGTTTTTTAAGGGATTTAGGGGGTCTAGAAAAAAAACCCCATGTCCTCCGGACAGCAGCTCCTTCTCGTGATGGAACTTGTCACTATCGCCTTGCAGGAAGTGAACCGACAAGAGATGTTTTTTCATGGGATTTAGGGGGTCTAGAATATAATCACACGCCCTCCGGACAGCAGCTGCTTCTCGTGATAGAACTTGCTACTGTCACCCTGCAACGGCAGTGAGGAGGTGGAAAGTGGGAGGGGGAGAGGGAGAGAGTGGGAGGAAGTTACGAATAGAGCCTTGAGCTTGCGGTTTTTTTTTTTTTTTTTTTTTTTTTTTTTAGGGGCCTCAAAAGGGACAGAGAGAGGAAGCTCAGATCTGAGCCTTAAAGCCTGAGGAGGCTATGTTACCTGGTCAACTTGGTCTATAAGAACTTGCGCATTAGAATGTTGGAACTGATTCACAGGTGCTGTGGCTTCCGGGTCTGACTGACTGCAGACACAACTTGATGTCTGGGCTCCGCAATTTCCTGGTCGACAAAGAATGTCTGCCTTGGACCCTGGGTGCTGCTTCGCGAGTGCTGTGGGGTCATACTCATGAGAGGCCTCGTTTCCAAGGAACAAACCTGAGGAGGACCTGAAGCTACGGATTGGGGGCTTTACATTCCATACCTGGTCGATAAGAACGCCTGCCTCGTGCCCTGGGTGCTGCTTCGCTTCGCGAGTGCTGTGCCGGTTCTACTTGCAGACTGTGTTGTGCCCAACCTGGTCTGTGTTGTGCACGTACTACAAGACTGTGTTTTGTACATGCCTACCTGGTCAATATTGATGCCTTTTGAGGCGCCTCAAAAGACGTACTACAAGACTGTGTTTTGTACGTGCCTACCTGGTCAATATTGATGCCTTTTGAGGCGCCTCAAAAGACGTACTACAAGACTGTGTTTTGTACGTGCCTACCTGGTCAATATTGATGCTGACCTTGGGCTCTGCGTTGCGCGGGTACTGGGACGGGCGCAACTAAAAGACTGGGTTATGAACTGAACGTTGATCGCGGGTTCTGTGCGTGGTCATGAACTGAACGTACCTGGTCGATGAGAATGTCAACCTTTGGCCCTGGGTACTGGTTCACGAGCGCTGTGGCGTCATACTCCTGAGAGGGGCAGGCGTGCAGGGGAAGGGATGAGGACGAGGAGGAGAGAGCTGAGATGCTGGACGAGGGAAGGGGGAGAGTGCCGAGTTGACAGGGAAGCCCTGTTGGTGCGACTTTTGAGAATTCTAAAAAGTCGCACCAATATAGTTGACAGGGAAGCCCTGGGTACTGCTTCACGAGCGCTGTGGCATCATACTCCTGAGAGGGCGGGGCAGGCGTGCAGGGGAAGGGGGGCGGATGAAGGGAGTGGAGAGGGGTGAGGGAGGGGGCCGAGAGCGAGTGCATGTGGAAGCCCTGGGTACTAATTCACTGCTTCACTGCTTCCCGAGCGACTTTTGAGGCGCCTTAAAAGGCATGTGGAAGCCCTGGGCACTGCTTCCCGAGCGCTGTGGCGTCATACTCCTGAGAGGGGTAGAGGGTGGATGGGGGGAGTCAATGAGGGGAGTCAATGAGGGGAGTCAATGAGGGGAGTCAATGAGGGGAGTCAATGAGGGGAGTCAATGAGGGGAGTCAATGAGGGGAGTCAATGAGGGGAGTCAATGAGGGGAGTCAATGAGGGGAGTCAATGAGGGGAGTCAATGAGGGGAGTCAATGAGGGGAGTCAATGAGGGGAGTCAATGAGGGGAGTCAATGAGGGGAGTCAATGAGGGGAGTCAATGAGGGGAGTCAATGAGGGGAGTCAATGAGGGGAGTCAATGAGGGGAGTCAATGAGGGGAGTCAATGAGGGGAGTCAATGAGGGGAGTCAATGAGGGGAGTCAATGAGGGGAGTCAATGAGGGGAGTCAATGAGGGGAGTCAATGAGGGGAGTCAATGAGGGGAGTCAATGAGGGGACGAGGGAGGGGAGTCAATGAGGGGACGAGTGAGGGGGGAGACAGCGAGTACATGTGGAAGCCCTGGATACTGCTTCACGTGGACGTACGTGGAGTACGTGGACGGGATAAGGGGGAAGATATGAGCGGGACGAGATGAGGGAGAAGTGATGAGAGGGAAGTAGGAAGACGCAAGTAGGTCACTCCCGCTCTAATTCCCTCCCAACCATGTGACAACTTATCAACCCAACCCAGCCCAACCACCTTCCAACTCAGCAACCAAATCCAGCCAGCTCACCCCCCAGGCTCCTCTGTCCTCTCCCAAGAGTTTCATCGAAATGTGATTTCAAGTGATAAAAGTCGAGTTTTGAGACGTCTCAAAACTCAACTTTTTATCACGTGTGAGCTTATGAGCCACCCACCCACTCTTATCCGCCTCACTTCCAAGACTGCTCTGTCCTCGCACAAATACCCTGAAAAGGTGATCATTAAGTTGAATGGAAAACCGCCCAACCCAACCCAACCCATTGGGCTCACCTCCCAGGCTGCTCTGTCCTCTCCCAAGTACCCTGAGAAGGCCTTCTGCCCCCAGGCTGAGCTGTATTTCCCCTTACTCAGTGGGATTGCAGCCCAGCCCAGCCCAACCACTCCCAACCGACTCGACTCACCTCCCAGGCTGCCTTATCGTCCCCCAAATACCCCGTGAAGGCCTTCTGCCCCCAGGGGCACTCCGTGGGGTTGCAGATGGGGGCGAATGCGGACACGGACTGGAGGGGAAGTGAGAAAAGGGGGAGGAGGGGGAAACACGGGGGAAACAGGGGAAATGGGGCGTTCAGCGTGGAAGGTGAAAAGAAGGCAGCAAGAGAAAGCCTTCTGCCCCCAGGGGCACTCCGTGGGGTTGCAGATGGGAGCGAATGCGGACACGGATTGGAGGGGAAGTGGGGAACAGGGAAAACAGATAGGCCGCTTAGAAAGGCACTTTGGAGACTTCTCAGTAGTGGGACGAGGGCAGTGAGCGAAGACCTTAAGGCTCCCCGAGTGGGACTTCTGAAAATAGGAGATAGTTAGCAGCGGATGACTCGTTATGGAGTGAACCATTAAGCTGCACTGCTGCATCCAAATCCACTTTACTCAGTAACTTCAAACAGAAACACTCGCCTTATACTTGGTGGAATTTCTGAAGAAGATAATCAGCGCGCCGTGTCCCCCCATAGAGTGACCCATTAAGCTGCACCGCTGCATGTCCAGATTAGTGTAGTGAGCGGACAAAATCCGGTGGAGCTCCTCAGTCACATAGTCGTACATCTGCCAGTTCTTCCACTTGGGCACTGTGGCGTTTACATAAAAGCCAGCACCTACACCAAAATCCCAGTTGTCCGATTCCCCTTCCACCTTCAACCCGCCTGCGTAGGGAAAGAAAACAGCAAAAAGGACAGGAGTAGCACCGGACAAGGAAGCAGGTTTAGGTGTATTGATACGTTTCTTTGACTGCCTTTGAGTCGACTCCAAAATTCGGTGGAGCTCCTCAGTCACATAGGAGGAGAGGGTCTCCTCAGTCACATAGGAGGAGAGGGTCTCCTCAGTCACATAGTCGTACATCTGCCAGTTCTTCCACTTGGGAACCGTGGCGTTTACATAAAAGCCGGCACCCACTCCGAAATCCCAATTGTCTGACTCTCCTTCCACCTTCAACCCACCTGAGCAGGGAAAGAAAAATGCGAAAACAAGCGGCGAAGAAGGCATTAAAATGCCATAGGCGTAGCACCAGTAACGAAAGCATATTAAGGTGTATTGGGCTTGGGCATTCTCTGGGAGTCTGACTTCACTGATTGAAGGCCATATATTCAACAACAGTTCCAGTTTTACCCTCGAAAAGGGCATTCGCGTACTTAGGGAAATGCAGCTTAAGAGAAAGGTAATGCAGCTTACGGGGCGAGGTGTCGGGGACAATGAGCGCGACCCCGTGCTCTGAGGCCGGCTTGGGCCCGCAGGGAAGGTGCTGTGAGAAGGAGAGGGAGCTTGCACGGCAGCTTCAGGGGGAGGATGGGGCAGCTTACGGGGCGAGATGTCGGGGACAATGAGGCCGACCCCGTGCTCTGAGGCAGGCTTGCGCGCATTGCCAGGCCGGCGCGTGCAGAGAGATGGGTGGGGAGAAGGGGGTGGGTGGGGAAGCTTACGGGGCGAGGTGTCGGGAACAATGAGGGCGACCCCGTGCTCTGAGGCGTATTTCTGCGCGAACGACTTTTGAATGAAGTTCTCGTCCGTGCAGGTGAGACCCGAGAGCCAGTAGATCACCTGCCGGGGGAGGGAGACAAGACGGCGGAAGGGGTGTGCGGGGGCAACGAACGTGGGGACAGACGCCTCAAGGCACAGTGAGGTCAAACCTGTGCGAATGTGTGAGGCACAATGAGAGCAACCCCGTGCTCTGAGGCGTATTTCTGCGCGAACGACTTTTGAATGAAGTTCTCGTCCGTGCAGGTGAGACCCGAGAGCCAGTAGATCACCTGCGAGGGCTAAGGGAAGGGGTGTGTGGGGACAACGCACGAGGCGACAGGCCGAGATGTGGACGAAACAAGCGCAACGAGGTGAGAGTTCTATAGGCTTATTTGTACCGGGACGCGCGAGGAGGTGGCGGCGGGCGGGAAGTAGATGGAGAATTTCATGGTGCACCCGAGAGTCGCGCTCTCGTGCTCGTAGCGCTTGTTCACGCCGCCGAACATCTTATTGGACGAGATCTCTTTAGGCGCCGCCATTCCGAACGCCGCAGCTGCCGCGAAGCTTCGCGTGCACGCGGAAACGACGGCTTGAGACGCGGGGACGCTTTGCAAAGGGGAGCAGCGCGAGTCGTGTCGAGCTGCAACAGAAATGCAAGGGCTCAGAGAATGAACGGTTCGATTTATGTCGCGAGACTGATGGACGACTCCGGCAACCACGGTGCGGCTTTCGGTAAGCGGCGACGAGGCGGCTGGTCTTTCGGAAAGCGCGGGCGACGCGCCAGATGAAGGGCGACACGAAAAGGGGCTGAAACCCACACTAGCGGCTAGATAGCACGATTGGTGGAGTCTGGAATAGCTAGTCTCGGCGGGGGAGGCGCGGAAGAGGGATTTAATCCCCGGAGCTATCCGCTGGATGCGGGCTGCAGACATTCAAACGGCTGGCTCAGGTGGAGTGAGATCGGAATGAGGTTGGCGATGTATGGAAATAGATTACTGGCGGTCGGTGGTACGGCACGCAGGCGTGAACGGAGAGCGGAACGGATGAAAAATGGTATAGAGAGGTGCGTGCAGATTGGAATGGAAGAAGTTTTGGATGGGTGCATGCATGGCTGGCTAGGGAGGTAAGTTGGAATCTCCTAGAATCTGGATTTGTGATGAATCCCTGGGTCGTAAGCTCCGTTTCATTGCTTCAGAGGAGTCTCGTAACGTAGGTTTTGTTTTTCGCAGGGAAGCTATTTGCATCACTTGTATTCAGGTTCGAATGACGAGAACTCGAACAGCTCTGGTGACGCCGTTGCATTACTGATTCTTTCAGAACACGCCCTCCGTCAATCTAGCTTGATCTGGTATGGTAAGCCATGAATCGCAGAGCGTCGTCTCGTCAGTCGCCAGGCAAGGGACCCTCAGTGATTGGGCACTCTTACAGATGCGACGACGTTTTGCGATTTGCGAAATCTGTTACTACGAATTGGGAACGGTCTTTGAGCTTTGATGAGCTCAGCCGCTCGGGCCAGTTCAACTGTTGAATCCACTCCGCCAACCGTCTCTGTGCGCGTGCGCCATCTTCCCTCCCCTCTCCCCCTGGGCTTTCAAGGGTCCATGGAGTTTTGCGCGGCAGAATCAAATGTGTTGCCGAGCCGAAGTATCAGGTCCGGCACTGATGGTTCAGACAATTCGAGTACGGTTTTGAACGATACAGCATTTAATCCGGTGGTTAATAGTGGTAGAACGAAGTATGTTTCGGGTAAATAAACGTACGACACGTCTCACATCTAATGATAAGTTTAGGAGCTCCAGAAAGACACTCATCACTTTGTGCGGCGCGTGGCGTGCTGCCTGCCTGCTGTGCGCTACCTGCTGCCTGGACAGCAGCTGGTCATCGCCTGAAATATTCTTATCTAATACCTGGTGACGCTGGCCATTCACTTACCTGTCATTCCAGCTAGCTGTCCGTCAACCCCCTATCGTTATTTCGGCACGCTCTCATTCGCCCGCTGCGTAGCGAAAGCGTCGTCAAAGTCCGACTGAGACTCTCAGTCACTATGGCCGACGGAGGCTGGGGCGTGCGACGCCGACTGGCCATCTGGGAGAGCCGAGCAGACTCGTTCCGCGATAAGTCAAGGTACTTGAATAATGAGTAGGACCCCGTTAGGACAAACCGCAAATGACGAGCCGTTAAATGACGAAAGGTTATGTGTTTTGAGTCGACTCAAAACACGACGAACCGTCACATACGAACAACAACGCATTGCCATTTTTTATGAGCGAATGCTCACAGCCTGATGGTCGTCTGTGAATTGCTTTTCTTAGTAATATCCTCCCGCTTTCGCTGTTTCCTCTGACACCTCGCTTTCCATTTCCCAGCGCGGATCCTGTACGAACCTCCACATCAGGTTCGGGAGCTCCCGGAGCTCCCAGCGGCGCACCAGCGCAGTACGGCGCGTCGACAGCCGTTGGATCAACGGCGACGACGAACGGAGGGCGGAGATGGGAACAGTGGGATCGGACGTACGACAACGTTCATTTCTCCACTCCGCGTGATGGCCAGTTCGGTGGGCCCGGCGCGTCGTCAAGCTATGTGGTAAGTAATGCCTAATGCGGTCTATTGGTAATGACACGGTTAGAGTGTTTTTGTTTTTTTGTACAGTTGAAGTAAATGGTTATGGCAAAACAGAGTCCAACTGACGATTCCAAGCGGCCAGTCTATCAGCTCTCTATAATCTATCTGTCCTTTGCTCCTTCTACCACCTGCCGTTCCTACGCAGTAATATCCCAGAGTACTAATATTTTAAAGTGGCACTTTTCCCAATTTCCCCGTCCTTTTGTGGGGTATTTCCCAGCCCGAGGACCCTCGCTACATGCCTACAGGCAACCCGCCTGGCTATCCCGTACCTGGAGCAGGCTCTTCTGGGGCAGGCGCATCTGCTGCCATAGCTACTGCTGCTGCTGCAGGTGTAGCTGCATCTGCAGGTGTAGCCTACCCTTCATCCCGCAGCCGAGGATCAGGGGCGAAACACCACCACCACCGTCACCACCACCACCATCATCAGCACCAGCCACACCAGCAGCCACACCAGCAGCCGCACCAGCAGCCGCAGTACCCTAACCTTCCCCAGCAGCAGCAGGACTACCCTGGGGTAGCCAGCGGCGCAGGGGGAGGGGCGGGGGGAGGGGCGCGGAGGGGGGGACCTCTCCGCATCAGCCCCTCCTACTCTAACGAGCCAGACGCCTCAGGCCTATCAGGGACGACGCTCGGGGGAGGCGGAGGCGGAGGCGGATGGGGAGGCGGAGGGGGAGGGGGGTGGGGCCAGGGGAGGGGGAGTCTGGGCGGAGCGGGATCCGTGGCGGGGGAGGCGGAGGGGATGGGGGGGGAGGGGGAGGAGGCGTGGGCGTGGTGGCGGGAGATGTATCAGGTGGACTGGAAGCCCAAGGAGGTGTTCTTTAAGTTCCGCCAGCGCTTCATGCAGTACAAGCTCGGGGCCAACGTGGAGCTCAGGCGCAGGCTGGATCCCCCACAGCTTTCGACTACCTCCCTTTCTCCGAAGGCCCCTGTTGCGCCCAAGCACAACCCGCTGTCGCTGTGGGGTTTCCAGGTGAGCATTTGAGGGCAGGGGGCGGGGGATTGAGGGGGGTGGACGGGGGAAGGGGAGTGGGCCTGGGTGGGGGAGGGGGAAGGGGAGGGGAGGGGGAGATGTACCAGGTGGACTGGAAGCCCAAGGAGGTGTTCTTCAAGTTCCGCCAGCGCTTCATGCAGTACAAGCTCGGGGCCAATTTGGAACTCCGGCGGAAGCTGGATCCTCCATAGCTTTTCACTGCTTCCCTCTCGCCCAAGGCGGCTCCTGCGCCCAAGCACAACCCACTCTCCCTATGGGGTTTTCAGGTGAGCATTGAAGAGAGCATTGGGGTGGTGGCTGGGTGGAGGGAGTCGCTTCCTGCAGTACAAGCTCGACACCAGCGTCAAGCTCGGGTGTAGGCTCGCCCGCCCACCCCCCCAGCTCTCCACCCTCTCCCTCTCCCCCAAGGCCCGTGCTGCCGCCCGTCCACCCTTTTTTTCTCATCGCCAGGTGAGCAGCGCATACCTGAAGCTGGTGTTAAAGCCAAATATCATGAACCGCAAGTGGAAAGGCATCCTTGTTTTGAGAATTCTCAAAACTCCCGTGCCTCATGTCCACAACATTACACTACACCCGCTCTTATCTACAGTTGAGCAGCGAGAGCCTGAAGCTGGTGTTAAAGCCCAAATATCAAGGACCGCAAGTGAACTGTTGTCGCTGTATGCTACCCCCCACTGCACCCTCTGCGAGCCTGAAGCTGGTGTTAAAGCCCAACATTACGGACTGCAAGTGGAATCAGGCTGATGTCTGTCTGTCCTCCACCCCTTTTCTGCGAACAGGTGAACAGCGCGAACCTGAAGTTGGTCTTAAAGCCCAACATCACGGATCGGAAGTGGAAGGTGATTTTTGAGCCACAGCGGGGGGACATCCGCTTCCTCACCCGCAAGATTCCCATCATGGGGCTGCTCAACCTACAGGTGTGCAGTGCGGTGCAAGGTGGTGCGGTATGGTGCAGTCCGGTACTGTGCGGTGCAGTGCGGTCAGGTGCGGTTGGGGCTGGTTTGGAGGGTCGTCTTTGAGCCTCAGCGGGGGACATCCGCTTCCTCACCCGCAAGATCCCCATCATGGGGCTGCTCAACCTGCAGGTGTGCAGTGCGGTGATATGTGGTGCAATGCAGGTGGTGTACGGTGTAGTGTGGCCAGTTGTGGCTGTGATAAGTGGGCACCTGTAGGGTTGTTATACCATCCCTTTATTTGACTCTCCTATTCTCCCCCCCTCCCCAAGCCTCCATCCCTTTCCCCCTCCTCTCTCACCCCTCACCCTTCCGTCACCCCTCACCCCTCTCTCTCTACTTCTCTCCCACAGGTGGGCGTAGGGCATGAATTCAGGCACAACGCGACGGGGTGGAAATGGAAATTGACCTCGGTGCTCATTCCATCCCCTTTCTCCCTTCCCACCCCCCTTATTTCAACCCTCATCCCTCACCCTTCACCCCACCCACCCCCTTGCGCTTGCCCTTTTTCCTCCACAGGTGGGCATTGGGCACGATTTCAAGCACAACGCGACGGGGTGGAAGTGATAACTCACCTCACTAAAGTCCCCACTTCATTACCCTTGTCCCTCCCCATCCCCATTCTCCCTTCCCACCCCCCTCCACACCCCCCTTTTCCTTTCCCACCCCCCTTCTCTCTCCCCACCCCTCCCCTACTCTCCCACAGGAGGGCATAGGGCATGACTTCAAGCACAACGCAACGGGGTGGAAGTGGAAACTCACCTCAGTTTCCTTTTCACCCCTCCTCTCTCTCCCTGACCACCTTATTTCACCCCTCAAGCCTTCTCCCCAACCTCTTTCTCTCTCCCCTTGTCTCCCACAGGTGGGCATTGGGCATGACTTCAAGCACAACGCAACAGGGTGGAAATGGAAACTCACCTCCGCGCTGAATGGGAACACGCCCTCGGAGATTCGTTATAAGCACAACCTGCCTGTGTGCCCGGGCGTGGATGTGCGCGTGGGGTGGAATGCAGAATATGTGCTGCCAGACATGCATGGGTGAGTCTTGAAGCTGTATGGTTGTCATGACATGCATGGGTGAGTCTTGAAGGTGTATGGTTGTCATGACATGCATGGGTGAGTCTTGAAGATGTATGGTTGTCATGACATGCATGGGTGAGTCTTGAAGCTGTATGGTTGTCATGACATGCATGGGTGAGTCTTGAAGGTGTATGATTGTCATGACATGCATGGGTGAGTCCTGAAGGTGTATGGTTGTCATGACATACATGGGTGAGGTCATGTGCTGCCCTGCATGCATGGGTGGATGTGAGCGTGGGGTGGAATGCCGAATGCGTGCTGCCTGACATGCATGGGTGAGTCTTACAGGGCTTGTTCAAGCACTCTTCTTGGTTATTTCGCTCTGTGTATCGTTCTCCTTTCCTCTGTCTTCTGTTGTCCCTGTCCCCATCACTGGAGCGCTGGGTACGGGAGGACTTTTGAGACGTCTCAAAAGTCGTCTACGGGAGAGCAGAGCCCCTTCTAGTTTTTGAAAACCCTCAAGAACCACCTCCCTCTTTTCCTCTTTCTTCTGTTGCCCCTCTCCTCGGAGCACTGGATACTGGGTAGGGGAGCCCAATTGGTGTGACTTCTGAGAATTCTCAAAAGTCGCACCCATCACCGGAGCGCTGGGTATGTGGGAGGGGAGCCCATTCTAGGGCTGAGTTTGTGCCCTCACTCTCCCCTCATGTCTATTTCCTCTCTTGTATCTCATGCCCCCTCATGTCTCAAATAACTCTCCCCATCATCAGAGCCTTGGGCACAGGGGAACCTATTCTGGGGCTGAATGTGGGGCGGCTGTACGCGTCAGTGGAGAGACTAGAAGCCATCTTCACCTCCATTGACTGACGTTCACCGCTGTTGAGCGCTGTTGGCTGCTTTTGACCGTGGTGAACTGCTGTTGACCTGCTGTGGGGCGGCTGTACGCATCAGTGGAGAGACTAGAAGCCATCTTCACCTCCATTGACTGATGTGTACCGCCGTGGACCGTGGTGAACTGTTGACCGCTGTTGGCTGTGGTGCTGGTGATTGCTGTTGAATGCTGCAGACATGGCTAGTTGATGGTCATGCGCAGTGACGCAGCTCTCTCCTGTCCTGTCTTTTGAGTCGACTCAAAAGTCACATGGTCATGCGCAGTGACACAGTCCTCTCCTGTCCTGTGATATGCAAGATGAGACGTGATACGGCTGTTGATGGTACACCTACGTGTGCACACATCTTAGCTGCAAGCTGTAGTCTGCCTAGTTATTTTCGTAGAAGTTGGTTTGCCTAGAGGCTCTAGGAATACTGGGAAGGAAAGGTTGCTTTCCGCTTATCTTTGTTTTTTAGATTGCCTGAAGATGGTAGTACAGTCAGCCTCATTTCCCCCCCTCCCCCCGTCCAGTATGGTGAGAGTTGAAGAATCATGTGTAGTACAGTAGTCCTGTTTTATTATTTCAAGGCTAGTCAATGTTCCAATGAATTAAATTACATAATGTAAGGCATTGAATAAACAAGTATAGTGGCTCTACTCTCCCAGCCATGGCTGGTTACACAATAACTTCAATTTTGCTGCTGCGGCAATGCTTCGTCATATGGCCCATCAAGCTTGCCCTGTTACCTGATAACAGCAGCAGGTAAAGTCATCCAAGACACAGCAGCAAGTCTACCGTGGCAACTCCTGGCGATTGCAGCCTTACAGAGCAGAGGGGCAGAAGGAGGCACCTTGGCTACCAGTGTGTTGGTGTTCCACCCTGCAGCAGCTGCCTTGGCAAGGAAGCCCTCAAACTCCTGCTGAGAGGAACAGCAGCGAGCGAGACCACGAGGCCATTTGGGATCACAGCATGAGCAGAGGGGCGGAGGGCGGCACCTTTGCCAGGAGAGTGTTGGTGTCCCACCCTGCAGCGGTCTCCTGGGCGAGGAACCCCTCATACTCCCTGCCTAGCGCATGTAGAGAGGCTTGCAAAACACCAATTATGCCCCGCAGCCAGGCAGCTCCGAATTACAGCATGAGCAGAGGGGCGGAGGGCGGCACCTTTGCCACGAGAGTGTTGGTGTCCCACCCAGCAGTGGATGCCTTGCCAAGAAACCCCTCAAACTCACTGCCTAGCGCGTTCAGAGACTCTTGAAGAATGCCAATGCCACCACTGCTGCTGCTGCTATTGCCAACGCCACCACTTCTGCTGGCGCCGCTTCTGTCAGCCAAATCAGAGTGGACCTCCTCCCCATCTGCCCCATGCTCCCTTCTTCTCTCCCTCCTCTGCTGCTGCAGCCAGCACGCCTGCCACACCACCCTCAGAACCGTCCCCTTTGATGCTCCTTGCTGCCGACATTTGTGGAGGATAGTAGAGAGAGGAGGGGGAGTAGAAAAACGATGAGTGGAAAGGGGGTTGGGTGAGAGGGTGAAGCGGGGAAGGTGGTACGTGGTTAGGATTACGGAAAAGTGGAGAGAATAGGGGGTTGGACTGAGTATAGGAGGTGCAAGCAACGGCTAGGCTGCAATGGAAGAGGCTGTAATGCAGTAACGGAAGAGGGAGAGCAAGCAACGGCTAGGCTGAAGGAGAGAAAGGGAAGAGAGCGGGGACAGGGGAGGAGAAGAAGCAAGATTGGGCACCTTGAAAATGGCAGAAAAAACGTTTGCAGACATCTCAAAGCAAGATAAGATGACAGAAAAGACGTTTGAAGACGTCTCAAAGTAAGATAAGATGACAGAAAACACGTTTTGAGACGTTTCAAAGCAAGATAGGGTACCTTGAAGATGACAGAAAATGCACCGGTATCATCCATTAGAAGCACATGCTGCTCGTCTCGATACAGTGCCAGGAGCTCCGTGATTGGCTGGAAGATGACACATGGACGCAGTTTAGAGACAAGGGATAACATCGAGAGGGAGAGGGAGAGATGCAACGGAAAGGACTGAGGCGGGTAAAGGTTGCTTATTGCTTCTCCAGAGTACTTTTCTTTGCGACAACTCAGAAGGACTGAGGCGGGTACTCCTCCTCCCCGAGCTACATTTGAGACGTCTCAAAAGTCATAGATCCTGCTCGCCTGGTGTAGTGACTGGCTGGAGGTATGCGATTGCGTGAGAAGAGACTGTTGACGAGGTATGCGATTGCGTGAGAATGAGACAAGGAGAGTCTGAAAATGAAGAGACCACCAGGCAGAGATAAACAGACGAACAGCAGCCCCCCCCCCCTCTCCCCCCCACTCCCCTCCGTCCTCCCTCCCGCCTCCCTCCCTCCTCCAACAACAGAAAATCTCACTATTCTGTTGGCCGATTGTTGTTCGAGCAGCGCGGACAAGTCAGCAAGGGAGCAACCAAGGTTGATGCGAGGGGACGTGAGGCGGCGAGGCAGCCAGAGGCGCTCCTTCTGGTTGACTGCCTGCACTGAGGGCAGCGTTGCAGCCCCTGAGCTAGAGGCGTTCCTGTCAGTCTATAAGTGAGGCACCTCAACAGCTGAGTCCGTACCATTCGATTGGCTGACTGTTGTTCAAGCAGGACGGACAAGTCAGCAAGGGAGCAGCCGAGGTTGATGCGAGGAGTTGTCAGTCGGCGAGGCAGCCAGAGGCGCTCCTTCTGGTTCACTGCCTGCACAGAGGGCAGCTCTGTTGCCCCTGAGACGTGCGCTCGGGCAAGGATGGCCATGCGCTTGAAATTCAGCTGAAGGTTAGAGGGGGGAAGATGGAGTGTTGAAGGATGGGAATGGACGTGAGGCGGCGGGGAAGCCGGAAGTGCTCCCTTCGGTTGACTGCTTGCACGGAGGGCAGCTCTGCAGCTCCTGAGATATGCGTTCTGGCAGGGATGGCTGTGCGCTTGAAGCTCAGCTGAGGGGAAGTAGAGGGGAGAAAGTGGTCGGTCGGTGAGGCTGGTGGGAAAAACAAAGGCGCTCGCGCCTGTCAATTGACTGGTTGCACAGAGGGCAGCTCTGCTGCCAAGGGGGAAAGGGGAAAAGAAGAGGGGGAAAGGCAGGCCCCCGAGTTACAAAAAAAAAAAGTGCTATTGTTTCTACGCGACAAGACTCGGCGATGTAGGGCGAACCCAGCAGCACCACGCCACACCCCAGCCATGAGGCCCGCACTCCACTCACCCCCTCAACTCAACAACTCATTAGGTCAAAATCGAGCAGAGAGAGAGACTTGAATACACTATGAGGCCTAGTGAGAGGACCGCAGCACAGCCCACGTGGTGATGAGGCTCCAATACGACTCGGCAATGCCCGGAGAACCCAGCAGCACCACGCCATACCCCAGCAACGAGCCCCGCACTCCGCTCACCCTTCCGGACACACGCTACTCACCGAGTCAAACTCGAACACGGAGAGCGACTTGAACCGAAAAGCGAGGTGAGTGGAGCGAATCACAGCCCACGTGGTGACCAGGCTCCAATACGACTCTCCCCGTTCCCCTTCAGACACGCAACCGCAACTCACAGAGTCAAACTCGAGCACAGAGAGCGACTTGAACCGGAAGGCCAAATGAGTTGACCGAATCACAGCCCACGTGGTGACTAGGCTCCAATACGACTCTCCCCGTTCCCCTTCAGACACGCAACCGCAACTCACAGAGTCAAACTCGAGCACAGAGAGCGACTTGAACCGGAACGCCAAGTGAGTTGACCGAATCACAGCCCACGTGGTGACCAGGCTCCAATACGACTCGGCAATGTAGGGCGAGCTGAGCAGCAGCACGCCACACCCCAGCCCCACCAGCTGCGCCATCACCTTATACACCTCCTCCTTTGCCACCACCTCCCCCACATTCGCCTGCAGGGCAAAGTGCGTCTGGATAACCCTAGCCGACGGGTCTTTGAGCCCTTTCGCGACTGCTTTTGTGAGGTTTCCGAGGGATGCGAGGAGGAGGAAGTGGGTCGGCGCGAGGGGGGTCGCGAGCTCGAATATTGCCCCGGACGAGCCGATTAGGTCCGCGACGAACCTCCACTGCTTCGGATCCTCGTCGAAGATGCTGCCGAACCTGCCGCCCACGAGGAGGCGGCCGACCGCGCCTATGCCGTCCTTAGCCACCCATTTGATGGCGGCAGTGGCGGCGGCGGCAGAAGCGGGGTCTACGGCGGGGAGGGCGGCTGCTGCTGCTGCTGCTGAGGTTGCGAGGGTTGCTGCTCCTGCTGCGACTGTACCAGCCGTACCAGCAGCAACGGCACCAGCAGCAGCGCCAGTAGCAGCAGCAGCACCAGAGGCAGCGGCAGTGCCAGCAGCGGCAGTGGCTGTGGCTTTAACGAGCGAGCCGACGCCAACTGCTTGCAGGAGCGTGGATGTGACGAGGGTTGACGAGGCCCACCCCGTTATGTGCACCGGGAACTGCCAGAGCCTGGTGGGTGGGAGGGAGGGGGGGGTGGATGGGAGGACCTTTCAGTCTTGAAACATCTCACATCACAATAGCGAGGGTTGACGAGGCCCACCCCGTTATGTGCACCGGGAACTGCCAGAGCCTGATGGGAGGGAGGGGAGGAGGAGAGAGGAGATGGGTGGAGATTGGCGGAAATGGGAGGAGAGGGGAGGAGAGGGGAGGAGAGGGGAGGAGAGGGGAGTTGAGGGGAGGAAAGGAGAGGAGAGGGGAATTGAGGGGAGGAAAGGGGATGAGAGGAAAGAAAGTGAACGAGGGAGGAGAGGGGAGGAAAAGGGATGAGGCTATGAGAGAGGAGGAAAGAAAACGAGGGAGGAGAGGGGTGGAAAGGGGATGCGAGATGAGGAGAGGGAAGGAGATGGAAGGAGAACAATGAAAGGGACGGGAGGGGATCAAAGGGGAAATGAACGGATGAAATGCGAAAAGCGGTAGATGGGATGTGGGGGGGGAGGAGGAAATGAGGGACATGAGGAACGAGAAAGGTGTGGAGGGGCAAAGAATTTAAGTTAAAAGCTTACATGTAGCTGGTGTAGTCACTGGTCAAGCTGCCCGGGTATCCAGCGGGCAGGAAGAAATTCTTTGCTGACTGAACCAGAGAGTCGAAGCGGCCACTTCGGGCAGGCTCAGCCCCGCCTCCGTTACTGTCACCTTCGTTAGAAGCACCAGCAGCGCCATCAGCGGAAGACACAGCATCAGGGGGGGTGGAAGAGGGAGGGGGGTCTGCAACGCTCACAGCTCCTTCAGAGAGGCTGATTCTATACCTGGGAAGGGGGAATGAAGAAACAGGGGGGAAAGTGAAACAGGGAGGACGAATAAGGAAACAGGGCGCGGAAGTCACAGCGGCAGGGGGGATTAGGGTTATGGAGGGGGTTCTGCGACGCTTACAGCTCCTTCAGACGGACTGATGCGATACCTGAGAAGGGGAATGAGGAAACAGGGCGCGGAAACAAGGGTGATCGCTATGTGAGGGAGGGAGGGAGGGAGGGAGGGAGGGAAAGAGGAAGGGTGGTGAACACTCCGAGTTGGGTGGGGTACAACCAGAAGTAGCAGAGGGAAAGGGGTGAGTGGGGTGTGAGGGAGGAAGGAGAGAGGGACAAACCGAAAGGCGTTACGGAGGGGCCTTGGCTGAAGAGAGAGATTACCATGGTCATGATTCAGCGTTACGAGATACAAAAAATGTTAGGGAATAAGAGAATTCGATACAAGGAAGGAATGAGACATCAGGTTTTGAGAGACACCAAGATGTGCGTTAATCTATTCTGGCCCGAACAGAAGTACTATTTCTAGTAGAACCCGGATATTAAGGGGGGAAGCTTAATAGCCTGAAAGGGAAAGAACCATAGCGTCCATTTACCTCCGTATAGACGCATTCGCGCGTCTCTCCTCAACAATAAACCCGTCCTGTACCTCCCTCGACACGTCAGCGTCTTTCGGTCTCTTGCTGTCGCTGTCTCCCCGGTCGTTTCCTACTTGATTGTTCCCGCTGCCGTTTCGTGCATTATTATTCCGGTCACTTGCTTCTTTACTCCCGCTTGAGCTGTCAGAGTCAGCCTGGCACCGAAATTTTAACGTCCTCGCCCTAACGTAATGAGACTTTGTCGTGTATCGGAATGTCTTATAACGGGGATGGGACTTAGTCCATCGGGAACACGTAGCACTACCCTCTGATAGTACAGAAAGCGACGTGTGGACTGCATGATTCTTCGATAACGGAGAAATCACACAACAACCACTGAAAGGCGATTGTAGGTGAGCTGCCATTGCACCAAAGCCTTTCAATGACGTGGCGTGATCACAACTTGACGTCACAAGTTGGCCAAACGCCTCTTCATAAGACTAAAGTCGAGTTTCTAGGGAAGGAAGGTCGAAGGGTCGAAGGGGAGAGGCGACGCAGTAGGACGGACGGGAAACGGGACGTTAGTTACGCAAGGAGGGTGGCTTGTAGGTACTACGGTGGGGTGATCCTTGTTGGCGGTGTGAATAATCAAATCAACAGGATTTCGTTGGATTCGACTTGGAGGTTTGGGCAGTTGGAGAACTTGTTTTGTCCAGAAGCCGCGACCGAAACAACGAGGAACCTCAACGCAAGACCAGATTAATAGCCAAATAAATGCAGCTTGCAAGCTGGCAGAATGCAAGGATGCTAATCTGGCTGCTAGCGGAGCACGCGTGGCGCGACAGATTCCGGAGACGCCATCCGTTTCTGAAGGGCCAAAAGGAAACGATCGCCTGCCCCTTCAACAGATCAAGGGTCACACCGGAAATGACGGGGCATGCTCGAGCGCAACGGCCGCAATTTCCAAGAGTTTCCCGCCCCAAACTAGCATCGACCAGAGGAGCAAAGGCGGCGGATTCTCCTCAGTGAAACAGAACACACCGAGGGTGCGTTGCGAGTCTATTTGTTGACCATCGTAAGTCTTCTCAAACCATCAGTCAGGACTCAGCAGCAGTCGCTGAGTTCTGTCCGCGGAGAGGGCTGCTGCGAGAAAATCGTACTTTCTTGGGTACACGTGTAACGATAGTGTGGGCCCCAAAACCACTAGGAATACGTGTGCAGTCGCTTCCTGTCCCACGTTTGCAATACTACTGCTGCTGACATGTATTCCGTGGTAGGTGGGCGCTGGGTGGCTTTTATGCGACTTGGGGCGTTATCACGGTCAAGTTCGCTGTCTCACGGTGAGAGGCGGTAAACCTGAGCCCACATAAGAAATGTGAAAATAGGTCCATTGTCCATGATTTTCCTATTGTTCACACTGCCAGAACAAGTTAGAACTAAACATAATTGATTACAGGTGTGCTATCACCCATTATGAACATATGGGAACCTTCTCCAAAGAAATGTGTCATGAGCTAAAGCCTGTCTTGTCTCTCCCTAACATGTGATTTATTAGCCCTTTGTTCCATCATGCTCTGCACCAGAAGCGCGCTCTCCAAACTGTTAATCTGAGACTGCAAAAGAGGTAAACAAGAGCATGAGATATCTCAAACATAATCAAGGTTCGCCAAATGCAAACGAAGACACTTTTTACCTGAAGGTGTGTTATATGGGAAATGGCCACCTCAATCATCGTCGCAGTGTCTACTTGTGGTCCCACCGCTCCTGCTGGTAGCGTCCGCCTCAACTGCTGCAACCCCTCGCTGCAATGATAAAAGCTCAATCGTAAAAATCCAGGTGCAAGGGAAACAAATGCCCTAATGTGCACTAAGAGCTGGGAACACACCTTATTTTATCTCGCCTCTTCCTTTCGCGCATGCTTCTTGGTTTTATGACCCCCCTCTCCTTAGCTTCTGCATCAAAGCGTGTCCGGGTCCTAGGTCGCCAATCTCTTGTTGCAAAGCTGTCTGGCAGCTGACGTACCAGGCTCAATTGCTCTGCTTGTAACCTTCCCGCCAAATCTGCACTGAAATTCACCGCGCCTACTGCAGGATCCCCATCATCACCGAGAACATCCGCAGTTGCCCCAACACCCGCTGCTGCAGGAGAGTCGCTGCCATCCAAACCACCGCCATCAACCAGCATGCCGGCTTGACCTCTCCTAGGGTCTGATCTCAGAAGCTCTTGCACCAGGGCCTCTTCTTCTAGGTCAAGCATAGCCCTTGCAAGCATGCAATCCTCGTCCCCAGGAAGTGACATGGTTCGTCTGCTGCCAACACTCCTCGCAGCCAGTGCCATTTCGCCCGAGAGCCTCGGCATGGAGCTCGACAGGCCAGCGGATCCTGCCAAAGGCGACCCGGAGAGATTAGGTGAACCAGAGGTGGTAGCAGGTGATTCGGCGACACGTGGCGATGCAGACTTAGTCACAAGCAGCGTGGCGTTTGGGTCTGAGCCTCCGCGAGTTGGCCGTGGTATTTCAGTAGTCAAGCTGATCTCCGCTTGCAAACCGCTTATGTGTTGCGGCCTTTGCTCCGGTGGCACAGGAATGGCGAACTCGGGACGAGCAGAAACGTTGGGATTTCCGTCCGAATTTGTGCCAGCATGGGGATTCGAACTCCGACCCATCATACCCCGAAGAAACTCTTCCAAAGGGGTTTCGTCCCCAGATTGTGAGGGGGCCCATTCCGCCGTTTCTGGAAGTTGTGATGATGATCCGGCGCCACCCTCCAAGAATCCCGCATTGCCGCCCACGTGGATCCCGCTATCATTAATACGACGACCATGAAATTGCGAGCTGGTAGAAGCTGATATGTCAAGAGTGCTCGGGCCGCCGGCGCCGCCGGCGGTTGCATTCCCCGAAGAAATCATTCCGAACATCTCTGCATTCAAATCTTCTTCTTCTACCTCCTTCGTAGGTATGCTGGTATTACTAGTAGTAGTAGTGTCGCCGCCTTCGGAAAGCCCTTCAGTGCCGCCCATACCAAAGTCTTTCGAGGTGGCGACTGCTGAAAATGGTTGCCGGTGAAATCGCGAGGGCCGACGGAGACTATGGCCAGCGGCGCGGCGATTCGAAGTTGAAGGAAGAGCGTTAGCGGCAGAACCTGGCAGTGAAGTTGGCGACGAGACAAGCGACACTGGCGTGCGACAGCTTGAGCTGGTAACCGCGACATTGTGCGACGCCGCGGCGACGGGATCGCCGACGGAGAAAGGCGCGTCGCGAGGCATGACTGACCGCGGCCCGGGAAGCGCATACTTTCCGCTTGCAACAGCTCCGCCCGCCGAAGAGAAACTTCTTTCTTCCGCGGCGGAGAGGATCTGCAGCTGCGCGAAACGCGCAGCCTCGGCGGAACGCTCGAGCAGCTCCGGAAGCTCTTGAGCGGCGAGACGGGCCGGCGACTCGTAACCTTGAGCTGATTCGGTGTTCTTATTATTTTCTCGTGCCGAGTTGGCGACGGTGGGAGGTATCACTACAGATGCCGACTCGGCCGCGGAAGCGTCAAGCCGCTTGTCGGCGCGAGCCGTGGGCGGCGGCATGCCGCCATTGGTGGTGCTGCTGCCTTCAAGCTGCAGCTGATGTACCCACGCTTCGACCGCGGTCCGCTGCCGATGCATCATCGCCGCGAGCGCCGTCTCCGTGAGGTTTGGCGACTGAAACGGGCCGCCCGCGGGTGGGGGATGAGTGCGCTGACGAAAATGATGAGCCTCGGCCGAACCGCCGACACCCCTGGCGGAGACGGCGTTGGAAACTTCGGTACCCCTATGGACGATTACGTCGTGCTGACTCGGATACGACATGATAATCGCGGCGACTCGTCGATGTTCGAAGATGGTCTACGCCCGTAATGCAAGCCGCAGGAGCGAATCTGGGGGCGACTCGCCAAGAGTGCCCCAAGAGTGCCTCCAGAGTGTCTTTCGTCGGGAGGGACAGAGTCGAGTAGAACCAATTTCTTGCTTCTCGAGTCGTCGGTAACGAACGACACGACGGGTTCTGTTCGTCGACACAGTGATCTCAGGTTAGTAAGGACTGGAGCAGGGCCGCTGCAAATATATTGACTACAGTAATCACTGCATTGTGGTGGAGGTGATGAAGTTAGTACATGTACTACAGTGTGCGCTTCTGCGCTTATGAAGGCAGACTGGTAATTTCAAAGTAAAAGCCGGCTAGTAGAGACAAGCAGTGGAGACATTCGACTGAGCTGGAAAGAAAAGCACGCTGATGCGAGTAACTTGCAGCTTTCCATGAATTTAGACGATCTCCGCGTAGCAGTGAGAATCCTTCCCACAAGCTGCGAAGCTCGAGCTTCGAGAACCAGTTAAAATAGAGCGGCCCGCCCGCGAGCTAAGGCTGAATGCAAGCGATGGGATAGGAGGAGTTTCAAAATCTGTTACAGATGTTCTCGTTTATAGTCCGACGGATCAACATTGCCGCGCGCGGACTATGTGGCAAACCCTTCAAACCCCAGGCAAAACGCGATACATATAGTCCCATTCAGGAAAATTGCATGAAGAGTGGTTGTTCTGCTACTCGTTTCTGAAGTTTGGCATTTACGTAGATTTGTACCGTGCTTGCTTCAACTTCCAGTCGCACGGTTTTTCCACGCTGATCAATGTCGCATGACTAACGGTAAAAACAAAACAAAATCAAATATGGTTTGGGGGTCGAAGAGTAACCCGAAAACTTCGTTTCTACCCTGTAAGCGAGATAAATGAGGTGTCATCGTCGATCACGCTGGAGACAGCGCGACAGGATTGAGAATTAGTCGCAGTCAAGAGAAACAAATACTTACAATAAAAAGTCAAAATATCGAATAGATGATCCCTTCTTCATCGTTCTCCTTGAATGTTGGGCTGGTTTGATCTGGAGCCTATGATTGGCTGCGGAGCTGATTCGTTCAATGATTCGGTCAAGCTGCAAACTTTCCCGCCAAAAACGGGACTTTAGGGATCGGGCCAACCCTAGGCTTTATCGGAAAGTTCTACTCAGGGGGGAAAGGGCCTCTCTCAGCGAGAGCCTCTAACCCGGAACATTTGTACAAATCCGAAAACATGAAGGGCTGAAGACGAGCACGTGTGGCAGCAGCTTCGATCGGACGCTTTAGTCTGGATAGCAAAAGATTCTCAGAGGCACGCCGCGTGAATCTTCTGTACACCCTGTTTCTCGACCCTCTCACCTTGCGCGATTCGCTGCTACAGTGCGGTCAGGTGCCATAAACCGTATGGCTGAAACCTGCGGGCAAAGCCGCACCAGCTGACGGAGTGGTACTGGGGGCAAAATTTTTCTTTATCGCTGTATACCCTTTTCAACCGCTTTGAAACGCTTGGTTAATGTTCTTTACCATGCAGCATCCTAGCTAACCGCTTTCTTGTGAATGTGCTTGTACCGTCGGTGATAAGACCATTTCAAACGTGGTGACGTTCTACAACCAGTGCATGTTCTGCAACCAGATGCTCTGCTAGCGCGAAACAGGTGTAACAAGCTTCAGGTCTCTTTGATTGTGGTGTACAACAGTGCAGGATCACAGAAAGGCGGTGGTGTGCGCTGGAGGGATGCCACAAGATGAGACGGATGAGGGTAGTTACGCTGTTGATCTATACATTTTATGGTACGAACGTTATAGTTTCACATATCAAGAGTGCATATTTTTTCAGTTTCTGCGCTTTTTCCTGACCCCGAAAGCAGCTGACCTCTCTCTCAACCTCTCAATAATCCGTACCACCCCAGCCTCCTTCCACCTACACCTTGACTAATTCATTCATCAATCTTGAAACATATTATTGTATTTCATCCCAAAATACTGAATCGGATCAGCCAGAATCATTTTCGCTAAGGGGGAGGCGCTTGCGACCTGCTCCACCGTGTCAACCCAGTGGTTGCTATTCTTGTCACAGTGGAACAAAGGGTCCAATGGTATGGGCTCGACTGGCCAACGTTGCAAACCATGTCAATTGGGCGGAGCACTGTGGGGCCTTCGTATCGAAACAAAGATCTTTGGAAGTAAATACGCCCTGCACTCTGACGTGACACTACAGTCTTACGTGCACCTTCGTCAAAAAATGATTTACCTAAACAATGCATTAACATTATCATTTTTTTAAATTGTATGTTGTCCAAAATCCGATGGCAAATCCTTGAAGAGACGCCAACGAGTGCTATGACTGTTGGGAGAGGGATATGTAATCACCGTATAAAGGTGAATAGGTTATAGGTGGCGGTGTTGTAAGTACCATGTGTTCTACGCGTGGTTGTGGTTACAACTTGGGGCGAAAGACTCCGCGAACCAGACCACTACTTGGAGATGCGAGCTGCGAGCTCACGAACAAACTTGGCAGCAACCATGGCTGTCATTCCATCCACCGTGTCGCGCTGCGGGTTCAACTCCACCACGTCCCCCGCCACCGCATTGCCTGGCGGAGAAAGTGGAGAGGGGGGAGGTGTGGGAAGGAAGGGAGGCGGGGGATGAGAGGGTTGAGTGGCACATGCGCCGCGGGTTCAACTCCACCACACCACATCACCTGCCACCACATTGCCTGGCGGAGAAAGGAGCAGCAAATGGGAATATATCAAGCTACGAGCGCTGTTACATGTGCTGAGCGTGTAGAAACACATGGCTGCCATTCCATCCACCTTGTAGGTTCAACTCACGTCACCTGCACCGCATTGCCTGGTGGGGAGCGCAGGGAGGGGGATGGTGCGGGAAGGAAGGGAGGCAGGGGAGGGGGAGGGGGAGGGGGAGGGGGAGGGGAGGGGGAGGGGGAGGGGGAGGGGGAGGGGGAGGGGGAGGGGGAGGGGGAGGGGGAGGGAGAGGGGGAGGGGAGAGGGGGGAGGGGAAGGGGGAGGGGGAGGGTGAGGAGGAGGGGGTCGTGGGTGACACATACAGTGCGGTTTCAGCCCCACCACGTCCCCCCCCACCACATTGCCTGCAGGCCAGTGGGAGCAGAGGGGGAGCTGTGGGTAGCAAGGGGATGGGGGGTTGGAGATGGGGAAACATGCACTGCGGGTTCAGCCCCACCACGTTCTCCCCCACCACATTGCCTGGCAGGGAAAGTGGGGAGGTGTGGGGAGGTGTGGGGAATAGGGAGGGAGAGGAGAAGGAAGCAAGGGGCAGGGGGCGGGGGGGGGGGAATGGAGAGTTGAGGTCCACCACGCTGCCAGGCAATGTGGTGGAGAGATCACAACGTGGTGCGGGTTCGGCACCATCTTGAACGTTCATGTCATGATCTGGCAGAAGGAGAGATCACCTGGCTCAATCACCATCTTGAACTGAATGTTCAATGAATCTTCACCCTTGACGTTCTGCAGAATGTTCACCACGTCGCAAAAGGAGAGGCCGCCCCGGTTCAATGTGCAGCAACTAAAACAAAGGGCTCTCTTGGGGAATGTTCACCAGAACATACACCGGAATGATCACCTTTGAGGTTCTGCAGAATGTTCATGACGTCGCGGAAGGAGAGGCCGCCCGGCTCAATGTGCTGCTTGGAGTGAATTATCACTGAAAGTTCACTGGGAGAATGTTCACCTTTGAGTTTCTGCAGAATGTTCATGACTTCGCGGAAGGAGAGACCGCCCGGCTCAATGTGCAGCGTGATATGAACTTTCACCGAGAGTTCACTTGCCGAATGTTCATCAGTAAGTTCACCATACTGTTCACCTTGAGGTTCTGCAGAATGTTCATGACGTCGCGGAAGGAGAGGCCGCCTGGTTCAATGTGGGAGACGCCCGGCGCAAACGCGGGGTCAAGGCAGTCTATGTCGATGGAGACGTACACTCCCTTCACCCCCTGGCCCAGCTCCTGAGGATGAAGAAAAGAGGCAAGGGAAATGAGAGGGGAGATGGGAGGAGAGATGGGTGAATGTGGGAGACGCCCGGAGCAAAGGCCCAGATCCTGATGAGAAAAAAGGGAGAAGAAAGGCGAGATAGAAGGGGAAATGGGAGGGGAGATGGGAGGGAAAGAAAAAGGAAATGAGCAGGAGGAGCAGGGAGTGGGGAGAACGATCACTAGCGGGGTGACTTTTGAGTCGATTCAAGACAAAGTGACTTTTGACTTTTGAGTGGACTCAAAGACGAGGTGACTTTTGACTTTTCAGTCGAATCAAAAGTCACTTTGAGTCGACTCAGGAGCAGGGAGTGGGGAGAAGGATCACTAGCAGAAGAGGATTCTGTGGAAAACCCACTAAAAGCATAGCGATAGCAAAAGCATAGCAATAGCATAAGCATAGCAGTAGCATAAGCATAGCAATAGCATGAGCATAGCAGTAGCATAAGCATAGCAATAGCATAAGCATAGCGATAGCAGTGCAAGTACACCATCACCACCACTCCCCACCCACCAGTTCTGAGTCCACTCGGTTTTGAGTCGACTCAGTTTTGAATGGACTCAGTTTTGAGTTGACTCAGTTTTGATTCGACTCAAAACTAGGCCCATTAAAAGCATAGCGATAGCGATGCAAGTACACCATCACCACCACTCCCCACCCACCAGATCTCCAACATCTCTCGGTTGCGGTGGAAGTGCCTCATCTCATCTCATACTACTCCACACACGAAGTAAGTGGACTAGTCTGCTCCAGTCGCTAAAAACACACCCACCACTGTCCACACACCCACACACCTCACCACAGTCAGCACACCCATCACCACCGCTCCCCACCACCACCAGGTTCTCCAGCATCTCTCGGTTGCGGTGGAAGTGCCTCATCTCATACTGCTCCACGCAAGAATTCAGGGGGTACGACCAGCTCCAGTCAGTAAAAGATCTCATCACTACATGCACACTCAAAACCAGCACCGTCACCACAACCCATCACCACCGCTCCCCACCCACCAGGTTCTCCAGCATCGCTCTGTCGCGGGTGAAGTGCCTCATCTCATACTGTTCCACACAAGAAGCCAGTGGTAGTAACCTGCCCCATTTGGTACAAGCACACCCATCACTGTAGACACACACAACACACCCATACCACCGCTCCCCACCCACCAGGTTCTCCAGCATCTCTCTGCTGCGGTGGAAGTGCTTCATCTCATACCAGCTCCAGTCAGTAAAAGAACTCATCACTACATGCACACTCAAAACCAGCACCGTCACCACAACCCATCACCACCGCTCTCCACCCCACCAGGTTCTCCAGCATCTCTCTGTTGCGATGAAAGTGCCTCATCTCGTACTGCTCCACGCCAACCGCCTGCCCTGCGCCCGCCCCTCCTCATTGATCGACCGGATGCCCACCTGCGGGCAGTGGAGGAAGGCGAGAGGGACCAAAAAGGATGCTTCTCTAGACACGCCGTGCATTCATGCTGGGATGCTGCAGTCAGCATCGTCCCTCACTCACCCAACCGCCTGCCCTGCGCCCGCCCCTCCTTGTTGATCGATCGGATGCCCACCTGCGAGCATCGGGAGGGTTTAGAGTGGATGGGAATGTCCTTAATATAAGGGCTTTATCTCAAAGACTAGGCCTAAACTGCTCCCGGCCCTCCTTGTTGGTCGATCGAATGCCCACCTGCGAGCATTGGGAGGAAAGGCCGCATCGAATGGTGAAAGACAGGAACGGAGGGCATAATATGATACAGATTCATCCACCCTGGCATGCTTGTAACGAGGATTAATTTCTCAACTTAATCCGCCCACTTTTTCCCTCTCCAGTCCCTCCTCTCCTCGTTGATCATACCCATTGCCCGCCTGCGAGCATTGGAAGGGTTAAGTGTGGATGTGGGACAACAGTGTGAGAGTTACTTATACAAAACTTTATTCACAATGTATACCGACATAAGTTCCAGGAGGTAATGTACCAGGTTTTGTTGTGGAATAAAAATACGTGGTAGAATTCTGGGTGCATACAAACCTAAGGGATCCCATGAACCCCAAACCCGAAACCCTGAACCCTTCGAACCCACCTGCAGCAGCCGCCGGCACGCTCCCGACTCTGTGATGCGGGCAAAGGGCGAGGCGTGGGAATAGTGGTTGCCCTCAAAGGCGTGGTAGGTGTTTTGGTGCCTAGGGTTTACGGTTTTAAACCCGAAACCTTAAACCCGAAATCCTGAACACTAAACCATTTCACCTCACCTGCAGCAGTCGCCGGCATGCTCCTGACTCCATGATACGGGCAAAGGGCGAGGCGTGGGAGTAGTGGTTTCCCTCAAAGGCGTGGTAGATGTCTGGGTGTGCGTCGAAGTGGAGAATGTCCACCGGGCCGCCCAGATGCTCTGAAACTGCTCGGACGACTGGGAAGGAGATGGAGTGATCTCCCCCTAGCACCAGAGGAGCAAGAGGAGACTGGGTGGGGGGAGGAGGGGAGAAACAGAGGGTGAAATAGGAGGAAAGTGGGAGAGAATGGGGAGAGAATGGGGGAGAATGAGGGGGAAACAGTGGTTGCCCTCAAAGGCGTGGTAGATGTCTGGGTGTGCGTCGAAGTGGAGAATGTCCACCGGGCCGCCCAGATGCTCTGATACCGCCCGCACCACCGGGAAGGAGATGGAGTGATCTCCGCCTAGCACGAGTGAGGCTAGGGGGGACTGGAGGGAAAATGACTTTTGAGTCGACTCAAAAGTCAACAGGATATGGAGCAATCTCCGCCTAGCACGAGTGAGGCGGGGGGGACTGGAGGGAAAATGGGGAAGAGGGGTGTCATCCAACCCACAGAAGTCTGACGCAGCAAGAAGAGTTACCACCTAGTAAAAAAAGCCTAGGAATTAGGGTTACTACTTTTGCCAGCACGAGGCGCACGAGCACGAGGCGCACGGAGTCTGACACGGTGCGCATGAGGCGGCTGTCCTCTAGCCCACAATAGTCTGATACGGTGATAAGGGTAACTACCTAATAAAATAGACTAGGAGTCAGGGTAATTACCTCTGCCAGCACAAGGCGCACGGAGTCTGACACGGTGCGCATGAGCCGACTGTCGTCCAACCCACAGTCCCGCATCTCCTGTTGTGATCAGATGGGACAGAATGCGTGGATGGGGTGGTATGCATGAAGGTGCATGAGCATGTCAATCGTACAAAAATACACCACCTGCACCAGATACCAGCTGCACCAACTGCATCAGATACCACCTGCACCAGATGCCACCTGCAAAAGATACCACCTGCAAAAGACACCACCTGCACCAGATACCACCTGCAAAAGACACCACCTGCACCAGATACCACCTGCAAAAGACACCACCTGCACCAGATACCACCTGCAAAAGACACAACCTGCACCAGATACCCCTGCAAAAGATACCACCTGCACCAGATACCACCTGCAAAAGATACCACCTGCACCAGATACCACCTGCAAAAGACACCACCTGCACCAGATACCACCTGCAAAAGACACAACCTGCACCAGATACCACCTGCAAAAGATACCACCTGCACCAGATACCACCTGCACCAGATGCCACCTGCAAAAGATACCACCTGCAAAAGACACCACCTGCACCAGATACCACCTGCAAAAGACACAACCTGCACCAGATACCACCTGCAAAAGATACCACCTGCACCAGATACCACCTGCAAAAGATACCACCTGCACCAGATACCACCTGCACCAGATGCCACCTGCAAAAGATACCACCTGCAAAAGACACCACCTGCACCAGATACCACCTGCAAAAGACACCACCTGCACCAGATACCACCTGCACCAGATACCACCTGCACCAGATACCACCTGCACCAGATACCACCTCCGCCAGTAGTAACCTCACCTGCACGGGCACATCCCCCACGTCTGTAAGCACCCGAAGAGTGTTCAGATTCTTGCGTGCTTGGAGCAGAGCAGCAGAAACAGTGGAGGACAGACCAGATCCTACCTGCAGTGGCACCTCATGCTACCTGCACCGGATACAGCCTGCACCAGTACCCGTCCTCACCTGCACGGGCACATCCCCCCACGTCTGTGAGCACGCGGATGTCGTTCAGGTCCTTGCCTGCTCTGCTCTACCTGCATCCAACCCCCCCTGCACCGGATACCGCCTGCACCAGTAACCCCTTCTCCTCACCCTGCACGGGAACGTTCCCCACGTCTGTGAGCACGCGGATGTCGTTCAGGTCCTTGCCTGCTCGGGGCAGCGCAGCAGCAACAGTAGAGAGCACAGATACTACCAGCACCAGATACCACCTGCACCAGTAACCCCTCTATCCCCTCACCTGCACGGGCACATCTCCTACGTCTGTGAGCACCCGAATATCGTTCAGGTCCTTGCCTGCTCGGGGCAGCGAAGCAGCGGATACCACCTGCACCAGTACCTGCTGTGCACCAGATACCACCTAAACCATCAGCCACAATCCCCTCACCTGCACGGGCACGTCCCCACGTCTGTGAGCACGCGGATGTCGTTCAGGTCCTTGCCTGCTCGGGCAGAGAAGCAGCGGATACCACCTGCACCAGTACCTGCTGTGCACCAGATACCACCTAAACCATCAGCCACAATCCCCTCACCTGCACGGGCACGTCCCCCACGTCTGTGAGCACGCGGATGTCGTTCAGGTCCTTGCCTGCTCGGGGCCGCGCAGCAGCAAGCACAAGGG